CTTGCGCTTGAGATGCCGAATGCTAAGGTAGCCTGGTACTAAACCTAAGGCGTCACCTATAGCCAAACCCTAACCAAACCCAAACCAAGCCTAACCCTGTAGCTAAGGGTGTCGGCGTACGAATGTGAATACTAGAAGCGCTTGTCCTAGGGGCACTAGCCCAGAGAGAATGTGGGTGAACTGAGACCGTGGGCTTGGGGCTGGATACACCAGGACACAAGGTCACACTGAGTATGGCGAGAAGCAAAGGAGATCGAGTTAGGGAACTATTCTACGATACAGGTGGTTCTTATATACATCCTGGGCTGACCCTTGAGGGCACGTCCTCACTGTACACTAACGAGTGAACACTACAGGAATCCTTCATGGATATCCAGTGGGTCCAGCAATGGGCACAATGGGTACAAACCGCTGAGTCAACATGCACAAGACTATTCTAGAACGTTCCAGACCTGATCACATGTCCCTACATCACGACCACAAGGTCACATGCCATCACGTGCCTACCACATGACTGGTCACGTGCCTATCCCTCTATCCATCCCACATCTCCATCGTCGAAGTGGCACCTGGGGCCACAATGCCTGCAAGGCGCGTACACTCCTTAGAAACGCCGAGAAATAAAGAGTTAGGTTTAGCCCGAAGGCCGTTTCACCGAAGATGCGCTCGATGACGTTGCGTGCTTGTGCGTGGCGTAGATTGAATAGCTCCTCCTTCGTCTGTGGCCTGCAATTTTTGAGACTCAGATTTGGATGAGTTGATGAATAAGATAATGACGTACTTTTGGTTGCCCTGTGCCCACTCCTTCAAATGATACCGTACACCTCGATAAGGTACCAACACCGCTGCACAAGAAGGATAACCGGCATCACCGAGATAAAACCAGCCATCCGGGATAGCAAAGTCATGCTCACGCGCATACTCAAAGACCTTCCCATCTGCTGCACTACCCTCCCAACCCGGAAGAATGTAACAGAATAGCATACTGAACGTACACGCGGCAAGAACATTTTGGGTGAGCCGACCCTTCCGATTGCGACTTGCACTTGCGTCTTCCGCTGGAACACGAGCATCGATGTGTGAGCCGTCTAGGGAGCCGAGGCACCGCTTAAAATAGGGGAAGAGTTTTGGGTTGGTAGAGATCTCGCTAGGAGTTTTGCTGGCGGGCAGATGAACATAGCGATGGTAGAAGTTTGGTGAAATGAGCAGGTCGAGAACATTGTGGAAATGCCTGCGAAATACTATCAGAAAGAACAACGGATAACCACATAGCATTGAACTTACCTGTTGACTGTATCTCCAGAGAGCTGAAAGTGATTCTTGATGTGCCTTGTATTATTCCCGGTGATGGTCTTGTGCAGAAACATGCCCAGGATGACGACAGCCGGGATATATTTGGAATCACATAACCCTGCATGAACGCCCAACTCGTGTAAGAGTAGGCGGAACACTTCCTTGCTCATGCCCATCATATCATGAAAGGTCTCCGGGTGACCTCTGAGCAGCTCATTCATCCAAGCGGCACCGGTTAGGATCGATGTGTGCTGGGGGCGAGGAAAGAGACGAGGAAGGAGCACAGAGACAGCAGTCGTGACACCAGCGAGGACGGAGATGACGGCCAACATTTTTCGTCGATGCTGCTCTTGCTGAAATTTTTGACGAGCCAGGGCAATTTTTTGGGAGCGTGTGAGGGCCATAATGGTGTTGTCATTGGCTGTGGCCCAAAGGTGACTTGCGCGAGGAGGCGCGTTGACTGTAACATGTAGTGACAAGCTCGTTACATTATTCTAGACTATGTGACATGACCGTTCATGAACTCAGATCAACTCGACGCGTGGTTCCCCGCAACCCCGGGATGAACCGTGCCCGACCAGGTTCGGCCTGAAATCGGACCCGTAAGGGCCCTTAGTGACGACGTGGATGTTTGCGAATGGGGAGGTCGATCGTATTCTGCGTGAATGCTCGTGAACGTTTCCCACCAGAAGGGGTAGAGGGAGGTAAAGAAGACGAAGGGTTTGGGAATACCTGAGCAAGGGGAGGTAAAGGAATAGATGGGTTTGGGAAGACTTGATCGAAAGGAGGAGGAATGAGCGACTCATCAATACCACAACCAATATACTCCTTCGAATGAATCTGTATGCTATCCCAAACCTTTGCAGGCAAAGGAAGGCGATCACCATTATCAGGGTTACCTGGGGCAGCGTACTCTTTATGCTGTGTCCGAATATGAGCATCCATATTATATCTCCATATCCCGCGGTAAACCTGACCGCGTGACTGTAGACTAGAGTCTGGACAAAGCCCGCAACGTATTGGCACATTCCTGCACGGTGTCGCAACAGTCCCCTTGTTCGCGTGGGCATATCTAATCTTGCGAAAGAGTGGGCATTTTGAATCTACTCGTGTTGTGGCCCCGACGATGGTGATTGTGATTTCGCGACAAAGTGGGTTGTCGCAGCGGCCACAGGAGCCACAAGGCATTGTCAGTCCAACCTGGGTGCCAATGAGACAGTGAGCCTACCGCCCCTGGCGCAGGTAAAACACAACTAAAAAATGGGACCGTGACTGACCGGAGATATTAAGGGTCGTGGCTCAGGCGCTCTGCATATCGCATGAAGAATATGCCATCCAATGTGGCCTCGCCACAATTCCTTCTCGAAAGGTACGACTTCGCCGCAGAGGTCGCATCTCCGATCGCCGTTCTCACCCAGTTCCTCCTGAAAGAATTCCGTGGCAGCAGCATTTGTTAGGATAGGATGATCTGTGTATTGTTCGGGGAGTGCATATGTGAGTATCATGCCATCGAGAGTGCTCTGGATGACTAGTACTAATGTGCTTACCGTTGAAAGTATACGGGAACCCGCCTCGAGCAGCAGCAGGAAGAGTAGGAATGGTGTCCGCGCGAATCGCGTCCTTCGAGACAGATGTCCACAGAAGCGAACTAAGATGGAGCAGGCGGTCCTCATCTACCTCCCAAGTCGTTCCTGCTGAGTTTATCTTCTCCAGTCCATCCTCAAAAAGCCTATCAGAGGCGATGACTGAACGGCAGCCAACCTGGGGGCTGCAGAGGCGGCCAGCGACAGAGATAATGCTCGTTTTCTCCGTCACAATCTCGGAGCCACGCATCGGAGCATCAGCCATCACGAACCCTCCGTCCCACACCCATACCCACTGCAAAGCTGCAGAATTACTGGCGGAGGTAAGTGCAGAGAGCTCTTCGACCGATGCAGCGGGGCTTGGAGGAGTCGACCGAGGTTCATGGGCGATGTCAGAATCAGCGGGGCGTCGGCAGTCTAGTGTAGGGTCAATGTCAGGATTATTTGACAGAACGCGGTGCATGATCATGATCTGGCCTTCGAGCTGAACATTGGCTTCTGGGTTGACAATGGTGGCAATCGGAAGATTCGGTTCGTGGACTCGACCTCTAGATATCCTGGTGGACCGAACAAGAGCAACGGATACATTATTATCGTGGCGTATAAGAGTCAAGAAATGGTCGCCCAATACAAACGTGTTAGGGCCGATCAAGTCGGCGGAGCTGTTGAGATGCGGACGCCAGGTTGGTTTGGTGAAACCTTGAACACGCTCGATGCGGTTCTTTGACTTGTGTATGAACTCCGCATTGATGACCAGGCGGCATATTGATTGTTTATGGATCGGCTTCCCGGCGCAGAGTAGCCAGTCGTCTTGAACAATGCCTGGTCGTAGTGGAAGAGGGTCCATATCGTCAACGTCGGCCAAGGCCTCCTCTAGCGTGATTGCAATCTCCGCTGAGTCGTCGTGCTCAAAGAGCCATGACGGTACCGTATATGGGTCAAAGGAGTCGGTGCTGGCTGCTTCAGAGGTGGGAGACGAGATAGGGGGTACAGTGATGCCTGCAGAAGATGGCTCCAAGGGAAAGTCAGGTTGAGACGTGATGATGGTGACATCGGCGGGGGATGAAGAGCTGGTGAGTGTATCAGTTGATGTGGCGGCGGTGTGTGAAGAAGTAACGGGTGCGGTGGCGATATCGGGGACGGTGGCGATGGGCTCAGGGTTGGGATCAGAAGGATGGGTCGCATCTGTGGGGATTGATCTATCCGGCATGTCTTCCTCTGCGTCATCGACTCCAGGAAACTTACCAGCCTCGAAAGGACAGAGAAGATCAAGCTTGCGATCACGAAAGAGCTCTTCGAATGCAGCGCAAGCGTTCGGCATCTGAGACCGTCGAATAGTCTCTTCTGCTGCACGGCGACCAGCTGCCCAAGCTTCGGGAAGAGATACGTTCTTGACGGAGGCATCACCCTTCCATGATGCGACGTTAAGATGGTCCAGTGCTGCTGTTCGCGTGACCTTAAGACGGCGTTGACCGCTATCAAGATCAGGGTTTCGAGCGAGAGCCGCATCAATATCTACAGCATGGCCAAGTCGATCGACACCCTGGTTGTAGCGCATGCCAGAGTCATGAGCACCCAGCATCCGAAGTCGCCCAAATAATTTCTCTAAGCGATCGTCTCCAAGTTCAAAGAGGTGAAAATCTTGCGATGGATCAAGGACCTGCTGTTTGGAAATACAGAAGAGAGCATTCTTCACCATGCATTGTGAATCGCCGTAAAGTTGATTTGACATGAAGGCCAGACGATGTTGTCGAAAGAATGCAAAGGAGAGATGGGCGTATTTGCTGAGGTATTCGACTTGTTTGGTCAGTGAGATATCTGGATTGACGTACGCCTCCAATATTGATTCACAGAGGTCTGAGAGCAGCCGAATGGCATCCAAGTCAGCGATAATGTCGGGGTTGCGCGTATCCAATTGCAAAGACCGAAGTGAGACGATAGCCTGCATGAGCTCGATGGCTCGGGGTACATCTTGTGGATCGGATGGGTAGAGGAGCGCATGGACCGAGTCAGTATCTTGGCCGTCAACGAGTTCAAGGTAGTGTGCAAGGGCCGAAGGGTTGATTAAACGTCCGGGGCCAAGCACTACCCCGGTTGCCGACCGAATGAGGGTACAGATACCTAAAGATGGAAAATAGGACATCGTGTCAGTTGGAGACAACATGAATCACACTGGCACGCCACAATGATTGTACGTTTATCGATGTGCTTCCAGTCGAAGTCCAGTGTAACCTCGCCCTCGCCAGTAAGTAGATTGATTCCGAGGAGTTTGCTCATGGTGGGGTAGATCGGTGACGACAATGGAAGAAATTTCGTGACGAAGAGTTTGTATCCCGCTTTGCGACGAGTGGCGTCACCATCGGTCGCAACCGACCAGAGCGGTCCCATCATGGTAGCGGCGATTTGGTTATAACCTCCGATGAGCGAATGGAAAATATGGATCATGTCATGGGCGTTCTCTTGTTTGCACGTTGGCGCGGCGAGTATGGGATAAGTCCGTGAGTGTCCGGTACCAAAGAAAGAGACGGAGGCAACCGTCATCTCCTTCCCAAGATGTACGCTTCCTTTGGCCAACGCTGTTGCAAGGTCAACCGCGGATTCGTAGGTGCGGAGAACGAGGTCGGAGAAGCGTGAATGCTTCCAGCAGAGACCACCAACCATGTTAGAGTGGCGGAAGTGGCAAGCCGCTTCTTCGATGGCTACTTCGTCGATAAGGATGCTGGCACCTCGACGATGCGGTGTGTCGGGGCTGCTCGATGTCAATGGCTTCACCACAACCTCTTGAAGATTGTGATCGATTTCGGTTCGCGTAATATCACCAACGGTAGGCATGATGCGGATGAATGAGAGATGGTTCTGTAGTGTACGGAGGGACGGAAGGCCAAGCGCGTGATTCATAGCATAAAGAAGTGGACGACCACCGATGCGGTATATCAATGTTGACAGATCGAGATTGCGAGTAGTAGCGATGCGGGGATGGTAAACGCCATTGAACGCCTGCTGGATCTGTGATGTGATCGCAGATATGCTGGCGCCATTGCGCAAAGCCGTCTGGACCAGGGTGCTAAGTTGGGCCACATCCATCTCGGCGATGGCCATGGTGAAACGTTGATAGTCTAGAGCCTTTCGGGCGGCAGCAGCGACGGAGCGGCTCATATTGAGTGTCTGTGAAGAAATATTAGTCATTGGGTCCGATTAAGTAGAGTTGTAAGGATATATATACCTTAAGCTTCCACTGATTCAGAGTCTGCGAACGTTCCGAAAGTCGGGTACGCAACTGTAGAGGGCTGAACGATATCATCTTGTGTGGTACCTTTCCTAACTGTGCATCCGAAACGACCCGTTCGACCCGGGGAGATATGAACTGGCACTCAAGGCAGGATGTGTTTGCGTTATCGATGTTTCCGGTACAACGATGTGAGAATGCGCGAAATCTTCGCCCTAGGTCCTGGAGCATGATATAGAACGGAAAACGTTCAGGTCCTGCCGTTGGGCCGAGGCGCGACCAGGGAAAGGAGTCATAGAAATCACTCCCAAGTGGCCAGTGAATAGCAACTCCCGGGCATGAATGTGACTCTGGTTCGTCAGGTACATCGGGAGGCGCTGAACCAGTTCGATCTTGACCGACAGGAAACCTAAAGGTTGTGTCATGGGTAAGAGATGTCAGAACACGGTGATATCAAAAGACAAACGACCTGATGAACAGATAATCTCTACTAGTAGATGCGTTGACTCACCCACTAGCGATGTATGCGTCGTTGAATTCAGACGCAGCAAGGTGACTATACCACACATCTTCACCGCGCTTTCCGGGCGAAAGCGGATCGGGAGGTGCACTAGTTGTCCGCGGTGGAGGCTGCATCGGAAGCTGACGGTGTCCAGTAGTCGTCGTCGATGAACCCTGGGGGTTTCGGTTCACCATCATCAACCTCTCTGTCTGACATCGGTTCCCTTTGCGGTGACCGAGTAGTGATTGAAAGTGGCCGGGTCGATCGCCGAGGACGATAGATGACGGAAGGCCAGTTGCAACCCACGTGTGGCAATCTGGGCATTGAACCTGCCATGTTGAATTGATTTCGTTCGTCCTGATGGATATAATGTTGTTGATAAAGGCTAATGATAAGGCGACCAGTGTGTTGTCTACGCTGACCGGTTGGGAGTGGTGGGCGGAGGCGATCGTGGTGGAGTGATAAGAGATGTTTGGAGGCGTGTTATGACGGGATGTTTCAGCGGAATCGGAAAGATAGTAGGCAGAGTGGTAATCCATAGAGCGGGTGGCGACGGGGGCGAAGATGGGTGGTGGGATCATGTTCTGAGAATACTGAGCATGCCGGTCTGGCTCTGTGCGGATATCTGGAAGGTTCATAGGTTCTAGCAACCGCACTCGGCCTGAGCAGCTGTATACTACCTCAAAGGCGCAAGCAAACGTACCTATGGATGGTTCTCGCTGCTGAATACCAGCGCGCCCCCGGATCGGAGTCTGGGGATCTCGGAAAATACCAAAATGCGGTAACAATGGAAGCATATCTGCTGAGATATTCTGAGACAATAATGCAGTAGAACGTACACCGGAGACAGGTTTCCTGAGGAAGCAGGCCACCAGATAGCAGAGCTTTTATATACAAGAGAGTCTGAGCCTTGCTGTCATGGACAAGAGCTTGGAGCGACGAGTAGAGTACCAGAGGATCACCTAGTACAAGATTGGTGTAGCGAGGGATACCTCTTTATCCGGAACGTGACACCTTTTGTCCGAGCATATTGCATCCTCACTGCCAGGATCTAAGTTCACAGACTGACCTGTGGCCAGCGGTAAGAAAGGTCCGATACTGGACCGATATTGACGCAGAATTGTCATATTATTAGTAGATCGTGCTAGCACGGGGTAGCACTCGACGAAATAAGCCTCCAAGCACCGTCATGCAAGGACTGAACGGGAGGATGTCGACGAAATAGCGCAACGATGGGAGCGGGTGGCCGAGTATGCCACCATCGGAACGAAGCGGCGGAGTTTAAAAGGTCAGAAGAATCCGTCCGTTCGTGTCTTTCCTCGTGTCACTCGGTCTCTTGTGCAGCTCCCTCTGCAAATCCTCGCTTGCTAAGGTAGCCTGGTACTAAACCTAAGGCGTCACCTATAGCCAAACCCTAACCAAACCCAAACCAAGCCTAACCCTGTAGCTGAGGGTGTCGGCGTACGAATGTGAGTACTAGGAGCGCTTGTCCTAGGGGCACTAGCCCAGAGAGAATGTGGGTGAACTGAGACCGTGGGCTTGGGGCTGGATACACCAGGACGCAAGGTCACACTGAGTATGGCGAGAAGCAAAGGAGATCGAGTTAGGGAACTATTCTACGATACAGGTAGTTCTTATATACATCCTGGGCTGACCCTTGAGGGCACGTCCTCACTGTACACTAACGAGTGAACACTACAGGAATCCTTCATGGATATCCAGTGGGTCCAGCAATGGGCACAATGGGTACAAACCGCTGAGTCAACATGCACAAGACTATTCTAGAACGTTCCAGACCTGATCACATGTCCCTACATCACGACCACAAGGTCACATGCCATCACGTGCCTACCACATGACTGGTCACGTGCCTATCCCTCTATCCATCCTATATCTTCATCGTCGAAG